CCCAAATTAGGCCTGAAAATATGTATGCCAAATCGGTTCAGATATAGCTATAGCTCCCATATATATTGTTCATCCGATTTGTTATTTTTGTCCACCGCCGCCGTAATATGCACGCTGCAACAACAATATTTGGGGAAATATATCAAATACAGCTCAGAAATACATTTGCTAAATTTTATCGAGATCGGTTCAGATTTGGATATAGCTCCCATATATAACTTCGTCCGATTTACCTTTTATTGTGCACCAAACGTCTAATATTTGTCCAAATGGGATGGAATTTGGCACTTACGATCGAATTGAGTCTAGAAGCTAGTATGTCAAATTTGGTGAAGATCGGTTCAGATATAGCTATAGCTTCCATATATATTATTCATCCGATTTGTTATATTTGTTACCCACAGCCGTAATATGCACTCCGTAACAACGATATTCAGGGAAATATCAAATACAGCTCAGAAATGTCTTTACCAAATTTTATCGAGATCGGTTCCGATTTGGATATAGCTTTTATAAATTTAACCATTGCGTGTATGATTGAATTCTCCCGTAAAAACTTTTAATTGTTATGCGGAGCTCTACTAAATTAGCAAAGTGGTGTAGGGTATCATAAAGTCGGCCCCGCCCGACTTTAAGACTTTCTTTACTGGTTTTTTAATTACTATAAACACACATTCATTCCCAAAATGTATTATTTCGAAACCCGAAATTCTTTGCCGACTCCCAACACCATTGATTGGACATTCCCCGAGAATATCAATTAACCAACATTTAACAAATAATTGACGTCACATCACAGCAATAAATGCACTGGAATAAAATCACGTATGCCAATCACGATCTTTGAAATTCATGCATTCCCCACCGCATCCATTGTCTACAATTCCACATAGGCATCAATTACATGGAATTCGCGATTTGTGAGATGCTGGCTAGCTATCTGGCTGGCTGAATTCTCATTAAATTATTCAAAATTCCGCTGCAAGAAAATTCATTGGCTGCAAGAAATGTTGCGAGGGATTTTGGATTTTTGAATAATTAAATGATAAGAATAATTATCAAGGAATATACAAATATGTGGTAAATGAAAGAAAGACAAAAAATAAGATAACATTTAAGATTTCTAGTTATGGCAGGATGTGTTACTCTTGAATCAAAATGTAATATTCCAGCTTAATAAGGAGCCGCTCTATATCAATAAAAAATTAATAAATAGAACAGTGTTGGCTTGTTTGTTTGGGATACCATAGTATTTTGTTGTTGCAAAATGGTCAGGCTTAATCCCCTTATTGTTGTTTTTATAAAAACAACGTTTGTTTATTAGTGGAGAACGATGGTAATGCTTACCAGGGGGTAAGGCAGGGAATATCTACCCTATTAATAAATAAATAAAAGGCTTAACTTATCTCCAAAACCTCTGTGCCTATGTACATGTGCAGTATTTCGTTAAACCCCTCCAAAAATAACTCAAATGAGCCCAAAAAAATATGAAATATTTAAAGAATTTGTTGACAACAAAAACGAATTCTCGTTAATATATTTTCTTAGTAATTTTCTTTACTTGGCATTATTGTTTTTGTTTTCTCTTCTTCTGTATATATATCTTCTGCTTTAATTTGTTTCCAAACAATATCATATTTTACTTGGCCAACAAAGTATGAATAACTACAAGAGTTTTTGCTAATTTATGAGAATATATATGTAGATACATATGTGTGTGTGTGGCTAAAACACTTTCGCTTTAAGCCATTCACACAGTCAGTCGGTAATTATAAATTATTTCTGTTGAGGCCACAAAAGCACACGCGCCAGCCAAACCGACAATGATTTGAAAAATCATAAATAGTATTTAGTTCTCATGCTGTGGGGTATGAATATGAGATGTATGTAGGTATGTACTAAAGGGCTGCAAATGTGACAATTTTCTCTCTTTATGCCATGGAGAAAAAACGCTCGTCATGTTGTGCCCTGTTTGATCAAACACATAACAGTACGTGACATCCAACTAAATGCTCGATGTCTCGTCATGTCGGTCACACTCAAACCCATCGTCATAACATGTAATGACCAATAAAAGAGAATGTTGAATAGTGTGTCAGGCAAAAATGTTCTATCAAAAAAACAACAACAATTATGAAACAATTGCTAACGAAAAAGACACACACGTGATGAATGCAAAGCGCAATCGCTACCTGCTTTTCCGATATGTGAAAAAATATTTTTTTTGCAATAAAGAATTTCTTGGCGAATAATTGGTCTACACAAAATTTTCATTTCGTGGTTATTGTTAATCCTTATTAAAAAAAAACAATAACCCCCTGAAAAATGTTCTTATTTTGATTATAATTTCATAAATGTTTGCCTCCGGTATTGAGGTGTAAATGAGAATGAGTGCTACTGTAATTCACGTAACAACACTATATACTTCCATTGTTCAATTCTGTGCATATTCTGTTATTGAATGAGAGTCAAATCTCCGCCCACAAACTTCAATTTTAAAAGAACACTATATGTAGATAGAAAATAGGCAAACAATATTTACCTCTTTTTTATGACCAACATTTTATGATAATCACCAATAAATTGGAATTGTTCATAATATATATAATTTTTCTATTCATTTGTTGATGTCTATGCACATTTTGTTATTGAACTCTATTTTATATTTACGCGGTGTTTGTTACTTCAAAATTACAGCACACACAAAAACACATCCTCACCGTCGAAAGTAACACACACACACTCTCTCAATTTAAGCACACGTACACAAATGACACACAATTTGACGATGACACGGTTCGATGTCATCGTTGACACCCTGCATTTTTCGAGAACACCATGCAAATATTCGAGTCAGCTATGCCACGATCGAACCTTAGACAATGGCACACATGAATCAAAATGGGGGATGTTGTTGGTTGTCATTGCTTTTCAAATACATAGCGCATGATTGAGTAGACAAAGTCAGTGTGTCGAAAAAAGCATAATTCATATAATTCGTCTTGTGCAGGCCTTTAGTATGTACATATGTACATGTATGAACATTTGGAACTTGAAATGTGTCAGGTGAATTGTGAGTAATTTTTTCTCTTTTATTTTTAAAAGACCCTTTAGAGGTCATTTATAGATAGAAGGCCTTCTACAGTTGTTCGACAGACTAAAGAGCTTTTATTTTAGAAGTCCTCTATTGTGAGAAAAATCTGTAAAGGTCTTCTATGCACAGAATATGTTGTCTTGATCAGAACTTGTTTAGACAGAATCGTTTAAAAATGTACATGCCTCCAATGGGCAGAAGTTCATTGACATATTCCATTGGCAATTTTTTTCTGGACAGACGAATTTTGCCAGTTTTTTTCCAGGCAGATGCCTTCTGTAGAAGAAAATTCTAACAGGTCTTCTATAGACCAGAAATCTTTGACATGTCTTTTGTGGGCTAAAAAGCTTTGACAGGCCCTCTATAGGAAAAAGAACTTCGACAGGACCTATGAAGACTAAAGACTTCACATGTCTTCTATACACAGAAGACTTATGGTGCGTCTTTTGCAGTCACAAGATCTTTGGCCGATCTTCTGTAGATAGACGACCTTTGGCAGGCTTCTTCAGAGAGGACGTCTTTGACAGGTCTTCCGTAGACAGACGATCTTAGGCATGTCTTCCGTAGACAGAAGATATTTGACAAGATTTCTGTAGACCAAGAGCTTTTGACGGGTCTTGTCTAAATAGAAGACCTTTGACCAATCTTTTGTAGACTTACGACCTTTGGAAGGTCTTCTTCAGTGAGGCGTATTTTATAGGTCCTCCGCAGACAGAAGACATGACAGATTTGCTGTAGGCTGGAGATCTTTGACAGGTCTTCTATAGACAGACGATCTTTGACATGTCATTTGACAAGTTTTCTGTAGACCAAAAGCTCTTGACGGTCCAGGAGACCTTCGACCGATCTTTTGTAGACTTACGACCTTTGGTAGGTCATCTTCAGTGAGGCGTCTTTGACTTGTCTTCCGTAGACATAAGACAAGTCTTCTGTAGCCAGAATCTTTGACAGGTTTTTTGTAGACCACTTTAGAGAGGCCTTCTACAGACACTAGGCTGTTAACAGATCTTCCGTACACTGACGACCCTTGATAAGATTTCTGAATGCAGGAGGTCTCTGGCAGATCTTCTGTAGACAGAAGAATTTTGAGAGATCTACTGCAGACAGAAGATCTTTGACGTGTTTTCTGAAGACATGAGATCTTTGACCGATCTTCTGTAGACCTACGAGTTTTGATATGTATACTCAAGACAGTAGGTTTTTGGCTGATATTCTGTAGACAAAAGACATTTGGTATCTTTTCTGTAGATAAAAGACAGATATCTAGACCCTAGTCTGTAGACTGACGATCTTTGATAGGTCTTCTAAAGACAGGAGGTCTCTGGCAGATCTTCTGTAGACAGAGATTTGAGAGATCTACTGCGAACAGAACACCTTTGAATTGTCTTCTGAAGACAAGAGACCTTTGACCAATCTTCTGTAGACCTACGAGTACTCAAGACAGTAGGTTTTTGGCTAATATTCTGTAGACAAAAGACATTTGACAGCTTTTCTGTAGATAAAAGACAGATCTCCCCTAGACAGAAAAAATTAATTAGTTAATTAGTTTGAAAGGTCTTATGAAGACTGAAGGTCTTTGACAGATATTCTTCTCTAGACAGAAGACCTTTGACAGGTCTTTTTTTGAACAGAGGAGTTGAGGTTTTGGCAGATATTCTGGAAACAAAGGAACTTTTGACACGCTCTCTGTAAAAAAAATCTTTGACAGCTCTTCTATAAACATAAAATCTTTGACAGACCGTCTGTCTGTTGACTGATCTTCTGTAGACATAATATCTATTGAAGTTCATCTAAAAAAATGAATTTTTAGGTGTGTTTCTTTAATTATTTTCAAAATATTTCATAACGTTTTGCATTTTATTTCACATTTTTAATAACAAAATGTTTCTCCTTTCAATATTTATAGGAACAATGAAAAACGCAAAGAACGTTCTCGCGATGCGGCCAGATGCCGACGGTCTCGTGAAACTGAAATCTTTACAGAATTGGCCCAGGTGCTGCCCCTGAAAAAAGAGGATGTACAACAGCTGGACAAAGCCTCGGTGATGCGTATTGCTATTTCATATCTTAAAGTTCGCGATATGCTTAAGATGTGTAAGTAAACATTAATAAATTCATTTCGAAAATTAGTTTCCACAATAATTCTCGCTCTCTTTACAGTTCCCAAAATACAAGCCTTATGTGGTGATTTAGATATTCCCTACAGCCAAGAGGAACATTCAGAAAAATACGAAAAAGAAGAAAATAATACTTCCACCACCAACACCCCATATGATACGGAAAATGATGACTCTCAACAGTCCTCAGCCGAAGAACCGAAACAAGAGAATTTGGAAACATCAAAACTCTCCACCGAGGAAAACGCCAGCACAACAGCTGATGATGATTCTTTCAATTCGACTCGTTTCATAAAACAAACCTTGGACGGGTTCCTTTTGATTTTATCCAATGATGGTGACATTACCTATGTCACTGATAACATTAGCGATTATTTGGGTATATCAAAGGTATGTGGTTGTGAATATTGGTTTTGAATATTATTTATTTTTACTTTGAACTGATTCTTTCAGATTGATATGCTGGGCCAACAAATATGGGAATATGCTCATCAATGTGATCATGCCGAGCTCAAGGAAGCACTGAACATCAAACGCAATGGCGTTGCTGATAAAGTCAAAGACGAACATCTATTGGAGGAGGGTATCTCCACTGATCATCGTGATCTATTCGTTCGTTTGAAATGCACCCTGACCAGTCGTGGTCGCAGCATTAATATTAAGAGTGCTTCTTATAAGGTAATGGAGGGGTTTGTTTAAATCGAACATACTTTGTTTTGATAGAGAGATTTTGTGTGTGTCAAGGAGCTCTATAAAGAAAAATTGGGAATGTTGGAACATGTTTTAGCAGCAATGCAATATCAGGGAATTGCATTTTTTTAAAGTGTTTTGTAGGAAGACATTCCAGGCCTGCTGTATACTGAAGACCTTTTAAAGGGTTCCTTCAGGGGAATGAAATTCTTATTTGATTGATAATTTTATTCAAACAGAATTCTGTTTGACGTTTAGTTAGGGAAAATTGTGTAATTCAGTAAGCTCTATAGGGCGACTGGAGATTGAGATTGTAAATAGAAAATTTTATGACCATAAGTGCGAAGTATATTAAGGTTGTCATTCCGGTGCAAACATAGACTTAAGAAAGGAACTTTTTGAGTTCAACGTGCAATTCAATTTGATTCGGCCTTGTCATACGTCAGTCTGTTGTAATGACACTTCCATATAAACGAATAAAAATCGAAAGCTAAGATGTTGTAGAGTACAACCTTTTTCACGGCAAAGACAAGTTAAATAGTATTTTTTTTAAAGAAGAGAGAGAAACTTTAAATTTCGGGGCGTCGAGAACCCTAATATACAAATTGGAAACATAGGTCCAAGTTTTATTATGTCCGCCATATAAAGGACCGAAAATTGTGAATCACTTTGTAGGTTTTGACAACATTTTTGAAACTGGTATTTGAGAATTTGAGATATTTTAATGGTTCCACATTTTTCTACTCTCGTCGGAAATAACAACAACTGCGTGCAAAAAACGTCCCATATTTGATAATTTAAATGTTGTACTTTGGCAGTTATTTTTCGTAAAGAGTACAAAATTTAATGATTCCGCCCTATATTGGGTGTTTGAAGGTTTAACCCGAATCGTATGCCAAAATTACTTTAATTTGACATTTTTATTCTTAAAGGGTTGGAAAGCTTCTTTAACTGTTTAAATGCATTATCCTACTGATTTTACCAGTTTTAAATGCAACTCGATCGTATACAGAATATCAGATCTGTTGTTTTCGAAAGGGTGCTTCCTTAATGGGATGTAGGTTTGAGGATAGGTCCTTCATTCGAAAACCAATGGCACATTCAATTGAACTGTAAATATTTGAAGATAGGAAGTATTATGAAAAAATAGGAAGTCAAGGTAAAAGCTTACCTGTGACAAAAAAATTACTGCCACTAAATCCTTTCTTTTTCCATGAAAGCTCTGCAGATCATTGTCTAATGACAAAATGGAGTCGATATTGTTTTTCTTTCACTCATAGAAGACTTACAGAACTGCTAGGTTAGAAAAGTTGGATCCTGGTCATCCTGTGTAGAAAGAGAACAAAATAACGAAAAATGTTAAAATGAAAGATGCAATGCTTTTTGCGAGCTAATATATAGCAGCAGAATCTGTTTCTGAATGCACACTGAGGTCATAGGCTGATTTGTATTATTTTTGTAGATAAGACAGGGCAAATGCATAATAATTGTTTAATCGTTTCTCTTTATTCATCCTTGCATAGGCAATAGTATACGACGTTAGAGTTGCCCCATTTGCATTTTCTTGAGCGGATTATGCAATGACCTCTTAGTATCCCGACCGTTATCCGTTACGTTGATGTGCTTATGCTTAGGTGTAACTGCGTTAGGCTGGGAGGTTCGTTGTACCAGCTCGTCATGGCTTTCTTTCTGAATTATGCGCCACTAAAATGACAAAAAGACAGTTTAAAGGTGTCGGCGACCTCAAGGTCTGTTTACTTCAAACCTTTCCTTGTCAGCTTATAGGCTTTCGCGTTTCCTTTAATATTGCAATGACTAGATACTCAGCAAAATTGGAAAGTGGTTTGCAGAATATTCAGAGTCAATCCACACAATTGACATTGCATTAATTTGTTTGTGGATATGCATATAGATATCCACCGGTTCAGTTATTTTTTCTTCCAAAGTTTTTTGCCGTTAAGATCTCTGCCAGATAAACAGTGCATTTCCATCCCACTTGTAGCAGTACGCCATTAATTGTTGCTCATAGAAGACTCCTTCTTCCATTTTTGATCCGTTCGTATGGGCAGACCGATTAGAGGCAGATTGTCTCTGTTTCATTCACTCCTTTTTCGTGGTCAGAGACGTGTAATCGCTGTTACTTCAGCTTACATTTAAGACTGTTTAAGGAGTATTTTTTGCTTGAGAATTTCAAGAGAGATTCATCATTATTTTACAAAACATCCTTAGAGAGGATGGGGCAAACCACAACTTTTCCTCTCTTGCAACTGATTTCCTAATGGATACATCGCGAGCTGAGGGATTATGTGTGGATTCTCTTTGCATAAAGAAAGTCCGCCAATGTTTAATTCTCCTTCCAAATTTTCTTCAATGTATCCTACCATTACATGAAGAACTGTTTCAACAGACTTTACCTTTAATCAGATGTGCTCCGTGTGCTTCACCAAGGAGTAATCTAGCTCCTTTCTAATATCAAAGTCTATCAGTCTATCCAAAGCCTTTAAAATTATGGGTGATAGACTGATTGGTCTATAGCTTTTGTTATACTGTGACTTGATTTACCAGCTTTAGGTACATAGATCATCATAAACTCTCTCCATAGATGAGGTAATGCACACAAGCATGATGTGCTCTGTAACATTGCTGATATTACGCCATCCTGTTCACATGATTTATACGGCCGAAAGGTACCAATCGTCCACTTCAGTTTATTTCTAGTAAACTACAAATCGTTTCGAGAATCTGTGGCAAGATTTGACTTGTGCTTTTTATTATGGGAAGATCTTGTTGAACGTATGATCGATAGTGCTCACGTCATTATCGCAAGGCTTTCGAACCATTGCCAGTCACATCCCATCAAAAGAAATTTAAAAAAAATACATGTTTTAAAATCGGAGAACGCAACAAAACTGATTTTCATTCTTTCCTTCCCATTTCTATTAAATGAGCTTAAACAGATATGATATTGTTTTAGGTCAAATAACTCCTAAATGAACTTGTAATAATGTATTCTTATTTTCCAGGTTATTCACATTACCGGTCATTTGGTGGTTAATACAAAAGGTGATCGTGTCTTGGTAGCCATGGGTAGACCCATACCACATCCCTCCAATATTGAGGTACCGTTGGGCAGCACAACTTTTCTAACCAAACATTCATTGGATATGAAATTTGTATACGCCGATGATAAGTAAGCACCATTATGAGATTCTTTATTTACAATTTCTGACAATTCCCTTTTCTATTTCAGAATGTTTAATTTGCTGGGTTATAAACCGGAAGATTTACTTGAAACATCTCTATTCAATTATCATCATGGCATCGATTCGGACAGTTTGATGGTGACCTTTAAAAATGGTAAGTTTTTTTTTTTTTTTTAATTGAAATTATTTTTTATACATTCATTAAGTTAGTCTATATGAGACAGAGAAATAAAGATGTCACTCCTGCAATCTAAGCTGCCAACCAGACAATAAATTATTTATGAGTTGGTTTTTGTTTGATGAGATTTTGTTTTTTTTTTGTTTCTGTCTACCTTCTCCGTTAGTCTTCTTCCTTTTAATGTCTTTTAAATTAAATAGATTACGAAATAATGTTTTACTAATTAGATTAATATAAGACGAATACGAATGTGAAGTGTGCTGGAGGATAAAGATGTTTTTGCACATTCCCATTTTGTCTGCCATCTCCATTTTATGTATGCTCCCTTGGCAAGTTATATAGACAATGTTATATACGCACAATGTTGACACTTTTGTATTATGTTTTTTTTTGCCAATGTTTCCTATGTTGTTGGCCACTCACTTCCTCTGCTTGCTTGATAATTATGTCCTCAACGAGAATATTAACATCATGTGACTAGCTGATTATTTTAGTAGCAATAGTCATTCAGACATTGTGATTGTCTATTGTTCCATTACTATCCTCTGCTTCCCGCTGTCCGCTCCACTTTATTGGTCTCGTAATTAGTTTTTTTGTTGTCATGCATTGGTGAAACTGCAACATTTGTTGGGATAAGTTCCATTCCATTAATGATTGCATTCGCTTGTCTCTTTAATTATGGCAATGATTTTTTTTTAATTTCATTCATTTATTCCATTTGTAAGTGCAATTATAGACTTGACTGTAAGGAGTATCGTCAGGATTCGACATGTTTATTATTACACCTATTATTTTTTTTCAAAATATCTAAGCTATTCGAGTTAAATTGATCACTCTAAATGGTTTATAAAATGCCTCTAGGTCTTTTGACTTCTAAAATATATCTGGTTTATAAAATATAAATAGAACTGAATGCCTCCTGAAGAATTTTATGTGCAATATACCTCATTAGCTGATGTTCAAGCTACAGAATTCCTCCATATAGGTTGTTTTTTCTACGACAAACATGAAAGATACTTTAGTTTAATTTCATCTCGGAACACCTGTAGACAATTTTCTATATAAAAGACATCTAAAACGACTATAGAAAATCTCTCAGAGGTCATTATGTTATAACAAACATCTAGAAATATACAAATAATTTAATTGAAGCCTTTAGGACACTCTGGCCTACGATCCGTAACCTAAGTAACCAATTCTTTAGCAATGGACTTCGAAGACAGCGTTCATACTGTAACTATTTATGGCAGTTGTGAATGCGATTCAGACCTGCCTGATAGACTGATTTAGAGGTTCTCTCTTGTCCTTCCTACCAAGCCTTGGTGCGGGAGTTTTATTCACCATATGATGGTTTGGATGACTCTCACGATAACACCCAAGCAGGTACTGCAACGATTATGCTGACGTACGGGAAGGGCCTTCGCTTTGTCATGTTGACAGTCCACTGAACATTCTGTTCTTTTAGTACGTAGCATTTATGTTTGCAGGCCACACTGGACCGCATAGTTGACCACAGACCGACGTCTTGTCCTAATCCTTGTCCGCACTCCAATTGCTGTCGGCACTGTCGCAGATAGTTGTGGCTTGTACGGACGACTTGAACATGCTGTCGAATGTGACCCATAAGATCTTGGGATAGTTTGTGGTGTGGCAAGCTCCGTGAGATACGTGTTAAAATTTTCCATACACCATAATCATACAATCATCCGCATACGTTACGATCTCTATGCCGTCTGGAGGGCGATGAATTGTGGAAAGGTAGAGATTAAACAAGTCCGGAAATATAATCTAACCTTACTGTTTTTCTCTACGGTGTTTTGACTTCTCGTTCCGACTGGCGCCCACACGTTTCAAACTTGGTCGGAGGGTAGTTCTCTCTACATCCTTCTGGTCTTCTATGAGAAGACCTTCTGGTCTTCTATGAGAAGACCTTCTGGTCTTCTATTAGAAGACCTTCTGGTCTTCTATTAGAAGACCTTCTGGTCTTCTATGAGAAGACCTTCTAGTCTTCTATGAGAAGGCCTTCTGGTCTTCTACGAGAAGACCTTCTGGTCTTCTATGAGAAGACCTACTGGCCTGCTATGAGAAGACCTACTGGCCTGCTATGAGAAGACCTTCAGCTCTTCTATGAGAAGATAGTCTGGCGTGGTTGACAAATTCCTTTGGTAGACCAAGAGCTACCAACACAGTTCTATGACACGGTTTGTTATGTTCTAATCCTGGACTGAAATGTGTGGATATGGTGTGCAATGCTGTTGTTGGCGGAATCCGTGTTGATGATGCTGATAGTTGGCAACCGGATAGTTTCATCTAATGTTGCGGAAGAGTAAACCCTCAAGAATGTTTGCTATTGGCAACAAAAGCAAAATTTGTCCAATATGATTCGGTCTTGCTGGCATCCTTGGCTGATTTTAGTTAAGGCTGGGTCCGGTAAGAGCCTGCCAAAAGAATCCATTTTCTACCTTCAGAAATTACGTTTAAAGCTCCTGTGGACAATAAAGGCCTTAAAGGCGTTAAAAGGTCTTTGGAATTAAAAAAAATATTTAAAAAAACCATTCGATTTGGAAATTAAAAAAAACCTTGTAATGCTTTTACGCAATCTTAAAACAGTTACTACAAATAAGTACCCTTCGCCTACAACTAAACGTTTAATGACAAGTCTTACACGTGTTGGCCCAGTGGGTGTTACTGGCCATAAACTCCTCCTTCTGCTTCTTCCTTTCAATGTCTAGCCCATAAAAACAAAGTTTATCTTTGTGCAGTCGGTCTGTTGTGATAAAAAATGCATAACTTCATAAATATGAAAATGAAAACACGCTGAAAACGACCGAAGTTGGCGTTTACACCTTCCCACGTCCATGGACGGACTATAAAAGGTAGCAGCTACTGCTAACACCTTCGAAATCGAAACAAGCAGCCAGGTGTCATTAAACTATTCAATTATTACAGGGCGGTAAAAAATGGAGACAAGGAGTAGATGCAGCCAGCCAGCTAAATCAAACAGAAGAACTACTAAATAAAAATAAACATAAAAAATGAGACGAGGTGGGGATTCCACAACCCCATCTTCTTTTTTTTACAAACAAACACCTATTCAGTGCCACCTTTAAGCCATTTTGTGGGTGACAAGAAACAAAAACAAAACTAAAAAAAAATTATTGCACGCAATAACTACTCGTCTAACTCGACAACAATAATCTACAAATAATAATTGTTGTAAAGTTGCCTTACTCTATAACAGCAACAACAACGCAAAAAAAGAACAACAACAACCAGTAATGAAAATATTTAGCCATTCAAAAGAAACCGTTGTCAGCAACAATTCTAATTGCTAGCAATAAAATTTAATGACAAAGGACATTTAGCCTCCCCAGTTTGGCCACTTGGAGGAGCATTCAAGCATTCGTTCTGTCTCATTGGTCAATTTCATTTCATTATAACGCACGCCGCTCGTGGGACCAGAGAGACTTCTGGGTAATAACGACAATGGCAATTAGCAAGGTATTCGTAGGGAGTTAATTATTTTTTAAAGTGGAGAAATGGAAAATAAATAAATACATGGATATGATTCTAGAATCTCTTTATGGATTCTAGGAAGTCTTCTATGCCCTTCGTTGATAGAGATTTTCAATAAATAATTAATTTTTAATTAAGAGGTTAAAAGGTATTCTATTAGTTAACATTATTTTTAAAGAGGCTTCTGTTTAAGAAGACCCACAAAAACCCCGTAAGGGTCTCCTGTTTGTGGGAGGTCCTTCAAAGTATTTATATGAGAGAGAGAGAGCACTCACAGGTCTTTTGTCTATGGAATAGACCTTTTCAAGAATAGAACTATTGCCTTTTTAAGATACATGGTGAGATCACAAAAATGCTACAAAGTCAAACGTCATGGTTTTTAGCTTTTTTTCTTTTAATTTTATGAAAGCAAAAATGTCGGAAATATCATCAAATTTTAGAAAAAGTTTAGATTTGTTCGAATTGGTCAGCCATGGCACGAATTATGGCCTTTAAACGGCCAATGAAACCGTCACTCGCTGCCCGAATGTTGCTCTGCGGTATTTTGGCCCTTGCTTGCCGTGATCGACTCTTTGGTATTTTTTAGTGCAAACCTTGCTTTCCAAAATACTCCAGACACAATAGTCCAACGGATTGGTATCCGGAGATTTTGGTGGATATTGAGCGCTGGAAATGAAGTAAGGAACCTCATTTTGTAACCATTCTTGGGTGGCGCGTGCTAAGTGCGATGGCGCTGAGTCCTGTTGGAATGTCCAAGGTCTGCGGCCAAGATGTTTGCGTGCCCAGGCTTTAATACACCCTCCAGAATATTTTCGCGATAATATTCGACATTTATTCTGATTAATACGCACGGTCGATTAATACGAGCGGAGAGCGACCAACGGCTGTTATGGCACGCCCACACCATCACCATGCCTCGTGCTTGAGTTTTGGTGGCCAACCGAAGGTACACATTTTCAGATGACCTCTTTGGTAAGTGGACACGATTATTTTGTTTGTTTAAAAACGGCTGGACAACGAATGTTTTCTCATCGGAGAAAACCAAATTCGGCAGTTCACCACTTTCGGCCAAGCGAAGCAATTCTTCTTGCACTTTTTGGAATTTCAATGGCTTTACGCCGAGCTCATTTTCTAATATTTTCCGAATGGAATATTGCAATATGTTCATCTAACGAGCCATTTTGCGGTCACATTTATTCACATTTTAATGCCGGAGTGCTCTAACGATAGCCACTTGTGGTTTTCCAACCAAAAATAAAGAAATCCCACTATCACACTTGAATTCCATCACGAATTGTCACTGGAATGGCTTAGAAATGACAGCAGTTTGAAGTTGGTTGCAGTTTTTCATCTCACCTTGTATTATGTTCAATTAAAAGCTTACAACGACTTTACTTCTCTAGAAGACCTATTTGAGGCCTTTTTCGGAGAAGACCTGTACAAGGGCGCATGTCCATAGA